GGGCCTGAACTCTGGGCCTGAGCACTGTCCCTCAGCTCTTCACCTCAAGGCTAGCGCTCTACCACTTGAGCCACAGCACCACTTCCAGCTTTTTTCTTTCTGCTATATGGTGCTGAGGAATCGAACCCAGGGCCTCATGCACGCAAGGCAAGCGCTCTACCACTGAGCCACCTTCCCAGCCCTGAGTCACTCAGTTTTATCTGCATGGACTAGCTCCGAACCTAAATTCTTAGCTCTCAGACTCCGGAGAAGCTAGAATTTCAAGCATGAGCCACTGTACCCAGCTCAGTTACCATTTTTAGTATTTTCTACACATCCAGTACTCCAATTTCTTTACATGCTTTATTGTGTAATATTGTATAAGGCACACATTTTGTAGCTAAGAAACTGAAGCACCAGGCTTACCTATTCTAATTGCATGGTACAGGTGGGACTCAAACCAGGTCCTTCTCCAAAATTTAACCACTGCTTATAAATGGTTGAATCCACAAATACAAATACAAAATGATATGCCATGGAATGGCAGAGAAATTGCTACAGATATAATGTAATAAATCCATATGCATAGCATACATGCTTGGAAAATAAAGGATTGCTTTATCAAGTTTAAGAAAAATGTTTCTAAGATTGCTTGACATAATCTATTTTTTTACTTTCTCCAAAGCAATAATTATTTCAATAAACATTGCAAATCTCTAACAGAATCTTTCTCAATAAACTTAATTTAGCTTTTAGTTTGATGAAAAAGACTATGTTATCTAAAATTTTAATAACAGCCAAGAACGAGTGGCTCACACCTGTAATCTTAGCTACTTGGGAGGCTGACACTGGAGGATTTTGTTTGAAGTCTTTCCAGGCAGAAAAAGTCCACAAGACCCCACCTCCAATTAACCAGCAAAATGCCACACAGGAGTCGTGAGACAAGTAGTACAGTGTTAGCTGTGAGCAAGCAAGCTGAATGAGAGCATAAAGCCCTAAGGTTCAAGAGTCAGTACTGGCACAAGAAAAAGAAAAAAAAAAAAAGATCAGAAGAGAAAGAGATGAAGAAGGAGAGGAAGAAGCAAAAAATCTGTAAGTATTTCATTGTTTTTAAACCAAAAAGTCATGTCTTATGCTTCTTAATTTTCTTGTTCACAAACTTAAAAATGTTTAAGATGGAAAGTAAACTTTACCCTATATCTACTACAGAGTTTAAAAGATAATCTTACTTGTATTTACAGATTGAGAATAGGTTTTTCAAGTTTCAGTTCATTAGAGGACTATATTTAACCTAGAATTAGTGATCTATGGTTTTACTTACCTTCTAATGTTTTAATTCCTTCATCTACAAACTTCCTTGCAGCAGATGGACTATAAAAAAGAAATACATTATCTCAAATCAGGCAAAACCCAATCCTGGTAACAATAACCAACTGTGTTCTTTATTGTTAAACAGTTTCTACTAAACTAAATAAACAAGACCTGCTAAATGTTTCATGGTTACTTGATAATGTTCAATTTTATCCAAAGTTAGATTTTCTGAAGCTTCAATCTGAATTCAATACCACCATGAACATGGACATAAGACATCTAAGCAGCTGTCATAATGTCAACACACAGACATATGGGCATTTGAAAACTGTTCATTCAACTAAGTTTAATGAGTTCCTATTAATTTGCTACATACTCTGTAAAAAAAAAAAAAAGCAGCATAAACAAGACAATTAAAAGCCCTTATCTTGGTGGGAATGTACACTTATACAACCACTTGGAAAGCAGTCTGGAGGGTCCTCAGAAAGCTAAATATTGACCTCCCTTATGACCCAGTCATACCACTTCTAGGTATCTATCCTGAACAACAGGAACCAGTATGCAAGGACACATGCATCTCCTCCATGTTTATTGCAGCACTGTTCACAATAGCCAGGATATGGATACAACCCAGATGTTCCACCACAGATGAATGGATCCAAAAACTGTGGTATCTACACACAATGGAACATTATGCAGCCATTAGAAAGGACAAAATAATGATATTTGCAGGGAAATGGATGGAGCTAGAAGAAATCATGTTGAGCGAGGTAAGCCAAGAGCAAAGAGACAAACGGCACATGGTCTCCCTGATAAGTGGATGTTAAGTCCAAAATGTAAGGTGATACAACAAAATTAACAAGACTTAAGAAACAAAGGACTTCCACCCATCTGGTAGAATCACTACTAAATAACCTCATGGTATATATGTGCACACCAGAGGGAAACCAGGAGGACGACACAGAACTACAGGGAATCAGGGAAAATCATACAACAGTGGAACCCATCAGGGGCACTGGACACGGATCAAAATGAACTAAGCAACTCAATGGCAACAATGGGAGGGAGGGGACAAGTGGGAAAGAGGGAACAGTTGATGCTATGCAAAACAAATGAAATGTACAATGTACCCAATGTGGAAGAAATAACTGTATTGCAAAGCTCATAGAACTCATAAATGTTATAGACCATGATAAAAAAAAAAAAAGCTCTTATTCTTGCTCACTTGATTCCAGTGAGGAAGAGAGAAACAATAAAGAGACACATAAAAATAAGAAAAATATGAGGCAGATGAACAGAGAATATAACATGTCAGAATAGCTAGGTCTTACTTTACAGTAGTTAGTAGGCAAAGGCCGCTGAGGTTTGAATAACAAAGAGCCAGTTATCTGGGGTGACCAAAGTAGAAGCATTTGAGCAAAGAAAATGATTACTGAAAAGACCTCAAACTAACATGAGCTTTACTCATTCAAAACAAGAGAGAAGCCGGGCACTGGTGGCTCACGCCTGTAATCCTAGCTACTCAGGAGGCTGAGATCTGAGGATCGCGGTTCAAAGCCAGCCCGGGCAGGAGAGACTGTGAGACTCCTATCTCCAATAAACCACCAGAAAACCGGAAGTGGTGCTGTAGCTCAAGTGGTAGAGCGCTAGCCTTGAGCTGAAGAGCTGAGGGACAGCGCCCAGGCCCAGAGTTCAAGCCCCATGACCGACAAAAAAAAAAAAACAAAAACAAAACAAGAGAGAAAAATTTGTGTCTGGAATGAAGGTATGAGGTCACCAAGCAGTACACAGGTACCATATTCTAGGATGATTCTTAAGCCAAAGTGGTAAGGGTTTTGCTAAAGGGTTTTGCTAAGTGCAATGAAATTACTAGAGCAAAGCAATAAATGTGATTTAGATTTGTAAATGATCACCTTTATATAAATAAATCAAGACATCAAAAAGGGCCTTATAGAATGGAAGGGGAAGAAGGAATCAGATTAACCTAATTTCCCTCCCATTTTTTTTTAGGGAAGGACACTGAAATCTAAGAAGTTTAAGTGACTTTCTTTTTTTTTTGGGGGGGGGGTCCGGTTGTGGGGCCTGAACTCTGGGCCTGGGCGCTGTCCCTCAGCTCTTCAGCTCAAGGCTAGCGCTCTACCACTTGAGCCACAGCGCCACTTCCGGCTTTTTTCCTTTTGCATATGTGGTGCTGAGGAATCGAACCCAGGGCCTCAGGCATACAAGGCACGCGCTCTACCACTGAGCCATCTTCCCAGCCCCTTAAGTGACTTTCTAAAGTAACAAATCCAGCTGGGAGTAGCAACAGGACCAAAGACTTGAATGAAATATGCACAGACATTCACAGGGCAATAATCTGAGACGCAATGCTTTAGAACATTTAAAATATTGTGATATTATATTACAGTATGATAAAGAATCTGGGTGATGTTAGCAAGGCAATGTTCAAGGAAAAAGTCAGTATTGAAAATGGCCAATCAATACATAAAGAAATGCTCAACATCTCTAGGCCAAGGAAATGCAAGTCAAAACAACCCAATTAGAATAGGTATTATCAAGATATTATCACTAATAGATAGTACAAGAATAAGGCCAAAAAGGAACCCTAATACACTGTTGGTGGGAATGTAAACTTGTTCAACCATTCTGGAAAGCAGTTTAGAGGTTTCTCAAAAAATTAAACTACCCTATGATCCAGTAATTCCACTCCTGGGCTTTTACCCAAAAGATTATAAACCAGGATAAAGTGAAGGCATCAGCACAACCATGTTTATTGAAGCATTATTCACTATAGCCAAGGTATGGAATCAGCCAAAATGCCTTTAAATAGATGAAGAAAATGTGATACACATAGATATACATACAGACATACATACACACACACACAATGGAATTTTACTCACCCATTAGAAAGAATATTATGCCATTTTTAAATAAATGGAAAGACTTGGAAAAAATTATTTTAAGTCAGGCCCACAAAGACAAAGGACCCATGCTTTCCCTTATATGTAGAATCTACATTTAGTTTAAAAACTCATAAGTGGCCGGGCACAGGTGGCTCAGACCTGTAATCCTAGCTACTTAGGAGGCTGAGATCTGAGGATCGCGGTTCAAAGCCAGCCTGGGCAGGAAAGTCTGTGAGACTATTATCTATTATCTCCAATAAACCACTAGAAAGCCAGAAGTGGTGCTGTAGCTCAAGCGGTGGAGCGCTCACCTTGAGCTGAAGAGCTGAGGGACAGTGCCCAGGCCCAGAGTTTAAGCCCCATGACTGACCGGGAAAAAAAAAAAAAAAGTAAATACACTTGGTGGTATGCAGGTGTACAAATTCATTAACTGAAATATGGTAGATTCAAGGGAGATCTCAAATAGAAAGCCAAAATCAAAGTTCAGCAAAATAAAACACCAGGAAGTGGGTACTAGAAAGGGCTAGGGCACTGTCAAAGAGAAAGGGGATAGATAGATGAAGAGAAGAGGGGGTAAATGCAAACAAGAATCCAATGTATATCCTATAAAATTAATGAAGAGTGGGGGAAGGAGTGTGTAGGGGAGGGATAGGTGAGAATGTTGAAAGGGATGACATTGATCAAGATATATTGTATCCATAAACTGTTTTGTTAAATGACATCTCCTTTGCAATACTACCTAAAAATAATAATTAAAATATTTTTTAGAAATAAAGTAAGTCGGGCACCAGTTCATGCCTACAATACTAGATACTTAGGAGGCTGAGACCTGAAGATCATGATGTGAAGCCAGCCTGACAGAAAAGCCTGTGAGACTCTTACCTCCAATGAACTACTTAGAAAAAGCCAGAAGTGTCACTGTGGCTCAAGTGGTAGAACACTAGCTTTGAGCCCAAAGAGGCACAGGGACAGTGCTTAGGCCCTTAGTTCAAGCCCCAGAACTAGCAAAAAATAAAAATAAAAAGAAGCCAATACTGAGTCAGTTCAGGCTCTCCTAGAGCTACTCACAATCTATATTCAAGTTTCATAATTTTCTTCCCTGGAAAACCTTGAAAACATAACAAATAGTCACAGCATCTGAAGAATCAGTCTTTTAGACCCATAAGCTAAAAATGGGTGAATCCTATGGTCAAAAATCATAAAGGAGGGCTGGGAAGGTGGCTCAGTGGTAGAGTGCTTGCCTTGCATGCATGAGGCCCTGGGTTCGATTCCTCAGCACCACATAAGCAAAAAGAAAAAAGCCAAAGTGGCGCTGTGGCTCAAGTGATAGAGTGCTAGCCTTGAGCTGAAGAGCTGAGGGACAGCGCCCAGGCCCAGAGTTCAGGCCCCACAACTGGACCCAAAATAAAAAAACAAAAACAAAAACAAAAATCATAAAGGAAGCTGGGTGCCAGTGGCTCACGCCTATGAGGATCACAGTTCAAAGCCAGCCCGGGCAGGAAAGTCTGTGAGACTTTTTTTTTTTTTTGGTGGGGGGAGGGGTCCGGTCATGGGGCCTGAATTCTGATGCTGAGGAATCAAACCCAAGGCCTCAGGCATGCAAAGCAAGCGATTTACCACTGAGCCACCTTCCCAGCCCCCTGTGAGACTCTTATCTCTAATAAACCACTAGAAAACCAGAAGTGGCGCTGTGGAAGAGCACTAGCCTTGAACTGAAGAGCTGAAAGACAGTTGAGCTGAAGAGCACAGGGACAGCGCCCAAGATCAGAGTTCAAGTCCCACGACCGACCAAAAAAAAATCATAAAGGTAGAGAAGTACAGGTTTTGGCTGACATGAAAAATAAAACCATGTCTGTTTAAGAAATAGTTCTTACCCAATGCCACTAACTCGAGTCAGGAAATTGATGGATGAACTTGTATCATCCTGCCGAATCTTTAAGAAAACAAAAAAAAAAGATTAACAATGATTAAGGAAACCCTGCAGACTTCAGTGATCTTATCAGAAATATACCAATATGCTAAGAAAAGTGGGACAATCATTTGCATTTGCCTGGATAACTCATAAGTAGGATTCACATATAACCTAAGTGCTAAGTGATGAGCAGAAGCTGAAGATGATTTATTTATTTATTTAATTTATTCTTTCTTTAAAAAAAATGTATTCTTGCCAATAACCAGAGCTTGAACTCAGGGCCTCCAGCTCTTGCTTGTCTTCCTTGATCATGGCTTGCATTCTTATCACTTGAACCATGCCTCTAGTCTGCTTTTTGCTAGACAAGTCTTGCAGACTTCTCTGCCGGAGCCAACTTTTCATTTTATTTATTTTTTTGTCAGTCATGGGCCTTGAACTCTGGGCTTAGGCGCTTTCCCTCAGCTCTTCAGCTCAAGGCCAGCGCTCTACCACTTGAGCTACAGCGCCACTTCTGGTTTTCTGGTGGTTTATTGGAGATAGGAGTCTCACAGTCTCTCCTGCCCGGGCTGGCTTTGAACCGAGATCCTCAGATCTCAGCCTCCTGAGTAGCTAGGATTATAGGCGTGAGCCACCAGCGCCCGGATGAGAGCTGACTTTTTCAATGAAGCTCCTCTAATCTCACTTCCTAGGTGTCTAGGAGTATAGATAGGCACTGATAACTAATTCAAAAAAGTTTTGAGGGAAGCCAGGCACTGGTAGCTAACATCAGTAACCCTAAATACTCAGGAAGCTGAGAATTTGAGGATTGTGGTTCAAAGCTAGCCTAGGCAGGAAAGTCCATGAGATTCTTTTCTCCAATTAATCACCAGAAAACTGGTGGCTCAAAGTGCTACAGTGCTAACCTTAAACACAAGAGCTCAGGGACAATGCCTAGGCCCCAAGTTCAAGCCCCATGACTTTAAAAAAAAAAAATTAATGGAGTAAGGGCTGGAAAATCAAGTTTAGGTGCAGAGCATATGTGAGGCTCCTGAGTTTAATTCCTAGTCCCCACACATACAATTTTTGTTTCTTTCAACTGATAAATTATATGCCTCATGTTCTGAAGAGTATATACATTAAGTAATGGTTAAATCTAGTCAGTTATTAAGTGCAGCTATTTTTGTGATAAGAACACTTGACATTCAACACTTAAAAAAAAAACTGATATAATTATCTTTAAGGTTCCAAAAAAATGCTTGGGAGAGTTTAAGCTTAGAAATTCTGATGATTGGGGCTGGGAAGGTGGCTCAGTGGTAGAGCACTTGCCTTGCATGCCAGAGGCCCTGGGTTCGATTCCTCAGCACCATATAAGCAAAAAGAAAAAAGCCAGAAGTGACACTGTGGCTTAAGTTGTAGAGCGCTAGCCTTGAGCTGAAGAGCTGAGGGATAGCGCCCAGGCCCAGAGTTCAGGCCCCATGACCAGACCCCCCCCCAAAAAAAAATTCTGATTATTTCTGTCTCTCTTTCTCCTCTCTCTCCCTCTCTTTCTCTCTGTCTCACTCTCTGTCTTGCTCTCTCTGTCTCTGTCTCTCCCTTCCCCCCAGTCCTGGGGCTTGACATTGTCACTGAGCCTCTTTTTCTCAAAGCTAGCACTCTACCACTTGAACCACAGCACCACTTCTGGCTTTTTCTGCACAGTTTATTGGAGATATGAGTCTCTCAGACTTTTCGGCCCAGGCTGGCTTCAAATTGCAATACTCAAGTCTCAGCTTCCTAAGCAACTAGGATTACAAGCATAAGCCACAGCACCTGGTTTTTCTTTTTTGTTTTTTGGGTTTGTTTTTTTTTTTGCAAGTCCTTGAACTTAAGAGCATGGTATTATTTCTGAGCTTTCTTGCTCAAGGCTAACGTCCTACCACATAAGCCACAACTCTACTTCCAGCTTTTTGGTGGCTAATTGGAGATAACAGTCTCACAATCTTTGCTGCCAAGACTGGCTTCAAACCGAATCCTCAGATCCAAGCCTCTTAAGTAACTAGGATTACAGGCATGAGCTACTGGCATCTGATGATAATAATATTTAAAAGTTTATCATCTCTTTCCTGAATGATACTGTAAATGAACCAACTATAAAAGTGAATCAACTATATCATAAATACTAATATTTTCTTGTGTGTGTGTGTGAATGTTTAAAAGAATGCAATATATTTCAAGGATGTGTTGTATTATATATAACAAATTTCATAAAAATTCATATAGTGCTGAGCACTGGTGGCTCCTACCTACTCAGGGGTCTGAGATCTAAGGATCACGGTTCAAAGCCAGCCCAAGCAAGAAAGTCCATGAGACTCCTATCTCCAATAAACCACTAGAAAACTGGAAGTGGCACTGTCGCTCAAGTGGTAGAGCACTAGGCTCGAACTGAAGAGCTGAAAGACAGTGCCCAGGCCAAGTTCAAGTCCCATGACCGACAAAAACAAAAACAAAAAACCAACCATATAGTACGTTGTAATATGTGTTCAGGCATGACTGAATTTTAAAACATGACTTAATGCCTTTAAGAATGCTTCCACAAGCCAGGCGCTGGTGGCTCACACCTGTAATGCTAGCTACTCAGGAGGCTGAGATCTGAGGATCGAGGTTCAAAGCCAGCCCAGGCAGGAAACTCCATGAGACTCTTACCTCCAATATACCACTAGAAAACCAGAAGTGGCACTGTGGCTCAAGTGGTAGAGTGCTCACCTTGAGCTGAAGAGCTGAAGATAGCACCCAAGCCCAAGCCCCAAGACTGACCAAAAAAAAAAAAAAAATGCTCCCACAGAGTGATGGGTGACAATGTTATCAGATACTTTGTATTCATATACTGTTTTGTAGAATGGAACTTCTTTGTACAACTAAAGATAATAATTTTTTTTTAAAAAAGAATGCTTCCACCTATTATTCTAATCAGCACAAATACAACAACTGCTAATAGTCTCTTAAATGTCACATAAAATAAGTGGAAAACTTTTGCATAATAAAGTCTTACTATGTTGTTCAGGCTGGTCCTTCCACATTGGCCTCCCCAAAATAGCGGAAGGAAAAGGCATCCTCCCTCATACCTATTAAGTGAAAATGTTTAGAAGCAATATTGACATTTTAGAAGGCACTTTACCAAACTCAGGGCTTTATATTGCCAGGCAAGTGATTTACCAACTGAGCCACACCTCTAGCCCCTTTACCTCTGGTCATTTCTAAGATTAGCTCACTTTTTTTGCCAGGACTGGGCTGGACCACATTCCTCCTGTTTATGTTCCTGCTATAGCTGGGATGACAGAAGCACCCAACTATACCCAGCTTTTTCTGTTGAGTTGAGGCTTTGTAAATTTCTTCTGCCTTAGTTGGCCTGGAACAGTGATCCTCTGGCCTTCCATGTAGTTGAAATCTTTAGCCAGCACTTCTGGCTTAAGAGATTAAAAGGATGGCAGTGCTTAAGCCTGGGCATAAAAAGGAAACCCTCTCTCAATGAATAGCTGGAGGATATACATACAGTGGCATACACCTGTCATCCTATCTACATGGGAAGCATATATAGACACATTACAATACAGACCTGCCTGGGCATACATGTGAGATTGTGTTCAAAACCTAGCAAAGAGCTGGGCATTGGTAGCTCATGCCTATAACCCTAGCTACTCAGAATGCTGAGATCTGAGGATCATGGTTTGAAGCCAGCCCAGGCAGAAAGGTTCTTGTGAGACTCTTATCTCCAATTAACCAAAAACCACAAGTAGAGCAGTGGCTCAAAGTGGTAGAGTGCTAACCTTGAGCAAAAGCGCTCAGAGACAGCACTCAGGCCCTGAGTTCAAGCCCCACAACCAACAACAAAAAACTAGCAAAGGTGAAAAGGGCTGGGAGTGTGGCTCAAATGGTAGCACATCAACCACCAGTACCACCAAAAACTAAATAAATAATGGAATGCTTAGAGCCATAAAGTCCAATCATCTCTTTTCTTTCTGAGACTTATTAGAATGAGTAACATACAGTTGCCATAAACAAAGATACTGTAATCAAATAAATAAGTTACTATTTTACCTTTTCCAGTTTACGCAATTTTCCAGTTGCTAAAAACTCATCAATCTTTTCCGCAATTTTTGTTCCTACTCCTGGCTACATAGAAAAGCAAAAGTATGTTAGTCATATAAATATAATGCTTGCCAAGTCAAAGTGTTTGAGAAATTAAAAGCAAATACCACATGACAAATTTTGAAACAAAAGATACTGAAAATTGAACCCCAGTAATAAATTTTTCCAAAGGCAAATAATTAAAAGGCTTGGTAACAGAACTTTTAATGAAACAATTGTTAATGACTCCTGTTTATTTAAAATTAACTTTTGGCAGAAATGTACTCACTACCTGACAGTAATCCCTCTGTATAACACCTAATAGCAATAAAATTCTATTTAAAAATTTAACTTTTGAGAGCAGAAAATTCAGTGATCAAACAGTCTAGCATATGCATAGCTCTAGTTTCAATCCCCAGTACCACAAAAAATAATCATAATTTTAATTGTAGAAAAATTGGAAAATATAGTTATGTAAGTATTAAAATCAAAACTGGAAAAAAGCAAGGGAAGGGGTAACATTGTCCAAAAAGAAATGTACTCTTTACCTGACTTATGTAACTATCACCATTCTGTATATCACCTTTATAATAACAATTTAAAAATTAAAAAATATTAAAATCACTTATCAGATGATTTCACTTATCTAAAAGTTAAACATAGGACTGGGAATGTGGCTTAGTGGTAGAGCGCTTGCATAACAAGCATGAAGGCCTCGGTTTGATTCTTCAGTACCACATAAACAGAAAAACAGGAAGTGGTGCTGTGGCTCAAGTGGCAAGAATGCTAGCCTTGAGCAAAAGAAGCTCAGTGACAGTGCCCACACCCTGAGTTAAGCCCCAGAACTGGCAATAAATAAATTAATTAATTAATTAAATATCATCTGTAATGTTATTCACTCACCTTTTCTTGCATTAACTTTTCTACTTATAAACATTCATATGTGTAAACTTTTTCTTTAGGATATTATGAACAAATTTCTATATCAGTAACTAAATATAGCAGTAGTATCTTTAGTGGCTGCTGCATAGCATTTCATTGTATGAGCTTACTTAACACATATCCTACATGTGAACATTTAGGTGGTCTCCAATTATTTCACTATAGTCATGAACTAGCACTGTTCTAAAAGAGCTTCTCAAGCTTTTGCACACATCAGTGTTTCCTAGGGAACTTAATAAACTATAGAATGTCAAGTCTCACCTTTGGGTTTCTGATTTGGTATGTCAGTGGTAAAAAGAGAGGCCAATATTTTACATTTTAAGTTCTCAGGTGCTGGTACTGCTGCTAATGCGGCTACTTCCACTGCTGCTGGTGTAGGCACCACATAGGTACTCTAGACCTGCAAAGTCCAATATGATATACTAGCTATATGTGATCATTTAAATGTATATAAATTTTTAATTCTTCAGTTACAGTAGCTACATTTCAAGAACTCAGTAGCTAAACGTAGCTTGTGGTTGTCATGTTGGACAGCACTTCTCTAGAATGCAAGAGCAGAGAACCCATCTTTTCAATTTATCTTCCCTAGTGCCTGACATGTAAGTGTTCAAAAGTTATGAACTACTGAATCTTGCATGCACATAATGTTATTGACTTCCTTGGAACAAACTTCTGAAAGTGGAACTGCTAGACATCCTGCAAATTATCCTTTGGAAAGACTGTAACAATAAACATTTCCATTATCAGTAAATGAGGGTACTTTTTTTCACATCTCTGCCCACATTTCATAGTAGGCAAACTTGGGTTTACTGGTCCTTTGTAGTTTATTAACATAGTTAACTAGTTTATACATGTTATGCATGAGTGCTAGCCCTCCATTCACCCTTCCAAATTCTGGATTTGTGTAATATTTAATAAGTGCCCACAAACTATTCAATTTGTATCTAACCTCTGAAGAGTAATTACCAAACAGAAATTAACAAAGAACTTAGGAAGATTGAAGAAAAAAGAAGGGGCTGGGAAGGTGGCTCAGTGGTAGAGCGCGTGCCTTGCATGCATGAGGCCCTGGGTTCGATTCCTCAGCACCACATAAGCAAAAAGAAAAAAGCCGAAGTGGTGCTGTGGCTCAAGTGGTAGAGCGCTAGCCTTGGGCTACAGCACCCAGGCCCAGAGTTCAGGCCCCACAACTGGACCCAAAAAAAAAAAAAAAGAAAAGAAAAGAAGAAGAAAGAAAAATGCTTAAGCTTCTATTTCCTATAGAGCCGATCTATCTATCTATCTATCTATCTATCTATCTATCTATCTATCTATCTATCTATTGAGATGGAGATGGAGATGGAGACGGAGACAGAGAGACAGAGAGAGTTCCAAGGAGAAAGCTGTTGAGGAAAAACTGAATGTTCAAGATACAGAGTTCAGTATTTTAAATATTGTTCAAATTTACCTTTATGTCCAGCAGGTCTAAAAATCCATAACTTGAAACCACATGGAGTAGGCTACATAACTGTCATAAAACCAGTGTTGTATACATTACTACTGCTCACCACGAGCTATATCTTATGTTTTTTTTATCTTGACTAATGCAGATGCTTGATTTATTTTCCCCTGCTATTACTCACTCCTGCTAAAGACATGTTGTCTTGCAATAAATCTAAAATCTTTCTTTTTTTAGGTGCTGGGCACAGACACAGTACCTGGGCTTCTTTTCCTCAAGGCTAGCACTCTACCACTTGAGCTAAAGATCTACTTTCAGCTTTTTAGTAGTTTATTGAAAATAAGAGTCTAATGGGACTGGGAATGTGGCTTAGTGGTAGAGTACCTAGCATGCATGAAGCCCTGGGTTTGAGTCCTCAATACCACATTATCAGAAAAACCCAGAAGTGGTGCTATGGCTCAAATGGTAGAGTGCTAGCCTTGAGCAACAGAAGCTCAGGGACAGTGACTAGGCCCTGAATTCAAACCCCAGGACCAACAAAAAAAGTCTCATGAACTTTCCTGCCCAAGTTAACTGAACTCAGAGCCTCAGATCTCACCCTGCTAAGTAGGTAGGAATACACAACTAGCATCAGGCTGAAATCTTCGTTTTTAGCACTTATGTTAAGTGCATGGTAGACTGCCACATTTACCATTCTCTTGGGAAGGCAGATTGTCACAGAATTAAGGGCAGGGAAATACTCAGCAGATCATACAATGATGTGAACACAAGTGACATAATATGGTTTAGGCAGACTAGCTGCATAATGAAAGAAAGGGAATATAAAATTTTGGTTTTGGAATTTCTTTTTATTTATTTACTTATTATAAATAAGTAATTACTGGGCAATATAATAAAATAAAAATAAATATTGCAAGATGATGTATTAAACAATAAAAAGATAATTAGAAAATAATGCTAAAATAATTTTACTCAATAGCATACTGTAATTTGGCATACATGTAATTTAGACCCTCAGCTCTTTTCTATAGCAAACACTGAAGAGAAAAAAAGCAAATAATTTGTTTTGGAGACTTTAGATTTCTAGAATTATTGAGAAGCTATCCAACGCAATAAATAGCACGTGTGTTCTTAAAGTAACAGTGAAAAGGATTAATGGTATTTTTTATGTTAAGTCTAATCTAATCCAAAACATATCTTTATAATACTTTTAGGGATATACCATGAGCTTAGATTTAGGATGAAGTAAGTCTGAGCTTTAAGGAAGAATCGCTCTAATATAAAGCAGGCTATTTGCAATACTACTAAAAAAGAAGTTTAGTGGTAACAAAAGGAGAAAAGAATAAAAGGAAAAGTGATTTCCAAGGTTAATGCCAAGGCAGAACTCAGAATGAGAACTAAAGGCCAATGTACTTATTATTTAGTTGGCTAGACCTCCTATTTAGGGGGACATATGATGCTGAGAACTGTGTATAGCACAAAGGACTTAAAACCTTTGCAAATTTATAAGTTACACTGTGGCAGGATTAATATAGGAATTTCTCACTCAAGCTTAAGATGTAAAAGATTTATAATGTTATGATTCTGAAGGGTGAAAACATGAGGGTAGCTATGGTTCATACTTTCAAGGCTTTCAGAAAAAAGTTAAGAATGATCAAATATGAATACAGCAATTTCAGAGGACTTTTGTGAAACAGAAATAGAATAGAAAGAAGCAATAACTTCAGGACCAACACAAATCTAAGTACATGTCAGTTTGGTATCTTAAACAAGAAATAAATAAGACAATAGTCCTTTACTTTGAGGAATTTTTAATCTATTAGTGAGAAAAAACTATGACTATCAATAGGTAGAACTCCTCAGGATATTCTTAGTGAAATTACTACAAATTACCAAGAGATGTGACCTTGTGAAAACTGGGAACTATTAGCAGACAGTGCTCACAGAATATGGGGCTAGCTACCATAATATAAAAGAGGCTTAATCCTATGTTTACCAGTAGATTAAGATCTCTTTGGGAATGAGATGTATAGCTTGGGACCACATAAACTTACACCAACAACACCAAAGTCTTCTAAAGTCTCCACACTAAAGGTGAATGGAAGAGTGAGTACATGTATATTTGAAAATGTAGAGAAACACTACTGTAATTACATATATTTAAAATTTTTTAATGTACTCTTTCTTCAAATCAAAACATTTGAGCTCAAAAAGTATGCTTGAAATGCATTAATATTAATCCAACAAATCAGGAGCAGTGGGACTGCCTATGTGAATCTAAGCAGCTTTGGAAATATATCTGTACATATATGATCTCTACAAAAAAGAAAAAAAATGCCTACTAAACTTACTAATTTCTTAGCTTCTGCTCCACTCTTGATTTTGTGTGGGTACTTTGCTATAACAGATGCTGCTTTTCTGCAAGGATAAAAAAGTAAAATAATTAAAAATCCAGGATGGCACTGATCAAGTAGTATTGCATTCATAAACTGCTTTGTTAAATAACAACTTCTTTGTACAACTACCCAGACAATAATAAAAATAAAATTAAAATAAAATCAAGACCTTAATTACTGTTTCTTAAACTAATATACATACATATATACATACATACATACATACATACAAGCAAATATCCATATTCTACTTTCACCAAAACAGCTAATTTTCTAGTTCCATGCAAAGTTAAAACATCGATAGCTGACAGGCCCCCCAAATATATCTCTGACTTTTTAAGAATATCTTGAAGTTCCTGACATTTGGGGATTCAGGATAGTAGCAGTTTTCTTTTCTGAGATTAAGTGGAAAATATCACTGGGAGTTTTTTTCTTTAAAGTTTTATAACAGGATAAAATAAGAAAAAATTTAAGAAAGAAAAAAAAAAGAGGAAAACCATAGGCTGTACCTTATAAAGCAAATGGTCGTTTAAGACTTCAAGCCTGCCAGGTGCCAGTAGCTCACACCTGTAATCCAGGCTGAGATCTGAGGATGGTGGTTCAAAGCCAGCCCAGGAAAGACTGTGAGACTCCTATCTCCAATAAACCACCAGAAAACCAGAAGTGGCGCTGTAGTTCAAGTGGTAGAGCACTAGCCTTGAGCTGAAGAGCTGAGGGAAACTGCCCAGGCCCAGAGTTCAAGCCCCATGACCGACAAAAAAAAAAGACTTCAAGCCTTGGTCATGGGGCTTGAACTCTGGGCCTGAGTGCTGTCCCTCAGCTCTTCAGCTCAAGGCTAGTACTCTCCATTTGAGCCACAGCTGCACTTCCTGTTTTCTGGTGGTTAATTAGAGATAAGAGTCTCACAGACTTTCCTGCCCCAGCTGGCTTTGAACCATGATCCTCAGATCTCAACCTCTTGAGTAGCTAGGATTACAGGCTTGAGCCACTAGCACCCAGCCTAACCCTCATAATTCTTTCAAACAAAGATGCCACCACAAAATTCACAATTTATCTCATACTAAAGGCAGTCTCATACTATGGACAGTTTTTGTCTGGAGGTGCACATGCAAGTGCACATGTACATGTGTGTGCACATGCTAGCACTATGGTTTGAACTCAGGGCCTTATGCTCTTAGTCTATCACAGCTAGTACTCTACTACTTGAGCCATGCCTCCAGACTGGATTTTTGCTGGCTAATTAGAAAGGAAGTCTCCTCAGACTTTTCTGCCTGGGCTGGCTTGAACCTTGATCCTCCAGGTCTCAGTCTCCTGAGTAGCTAGGATTACAAATGTGAGCCACGAGTGCCTAATGTCATTTTCTCAGTTCCCCGCCACCTTTTTTTTTTTTGCACATTTTTTATGGGTTTCATCATGACAAGGAAGTAGGGTTTTTTCAATTGCTTCCATGTTGTTAGTCCAGTATCAAAAACTGATCTGTTACTCTTGCCTACCTCCACACATATCCAGCTCAGGAATCTATGAGATAAACTCCGGGCACTCAATGATTGAACCCTATCTAACTTCAATGTTAAGCATAGTTTAGAACTGATGTAAAAAAGGAAAAGTTTGTGAGGGAAAGGATGACACTGTCCAAAAAGAAATGTACTCTTTACCTGACTTATCTAACTGTAACCCAGCTGTAAATCACCTTTATAATAACAATAAAAAACATATATATATATATATTTTTTTTTTTGTCAGTCGTGGGGCTTGAACTCTTGGCCTAGGCGCTGTCCCTCAATTGTCTTCAGCTCAAGGTTAGCACTATTAGCACTAGAGCCACACTGCCACTTCCAGTTTTCCAGTTGTTAATTGGAGATAAGAGTCTCACAGACTTTCTGCCAGGGCTAACATTGAACCGAGATCCTCAGATCTCAGCCTCCTGAGAAGGTAGGATTACAGGCATGAGCCACCGGTGCCTGGCAATAAAAATATTTTTAAAAGAAAAGTTTATAAAAAGTAATAGAGGGGGGCTGGGAAGGTGGCTCAGTGGTAGAGTGTTTGCCTTGCATGCATGAGGCCCTGGGTTCGATTCCTCAGCACCACATAAGCAAAAAGAAAAAAGCTGGAAAGTGGCATTGTGGCTCAAGTGGTAGAGTGCTAGCCTTGAGCTGAAGAGCTGAGGGACAGCACCCAGGCCCAGAGTTCAGGCCCCATGACCAGACCCCCCCCCAAAAAAAGGAATAGAGGGGGTAAACATAATCAAAGTATATCATATGCATGTATGAAAGTGTCAGACTAACACTTTCTTACTATGTACAATTTAATATATGTCCTTCACAAGGAAAATAATGATGTTAATGATGTGTAACAGTGGGCGAAAACATTACTATTAATAATATTAACATTAACTATTATCTAATATCAATATTTGGTAATCTTTGAAACCTTGGATTTTTTTCTATTCTAATGTATATAAACTTTTAGATTCAGATTTCAACTTCTCTGTTAGCATATGACTGGACCTATTTGTAGGCAAAGCAGGCCAAGAAAAGCTCACCTTTCAGGAAAGGCAAGTAGATCCAGATAATTGGCACTGAAGGATAAAGGCAGAAAAGGAAGATCATAAAAGGCCAAAGTACTTATTTGCAATGGAAGTACGGCAAGATTATATAACTAATTTTTGGCCACAATCAAGAGAAATATGAGCCTGCTGTAATTCTAGCTATTTAGGAGACTGAGATTTGAGGTTCATGGTTCATAGCCAGCCCAGACAGTAAAGTCCAGGAGACGCTTATCTCCAATTAGTCATCAAAAAGCCAGAAGTGGAGCTGTGGCTCAAATGGTAAAGTCTTGAGTACAAAAGGTCAGGGATAGTGGCTAGGCCCTAAGTTCTAACCACAGTTCTAGCACCGAAGAGAGAGGAGAGAGGAGAAGAGAGAGAAGAGAGACAGAGAGAGAAAGTGTATTGGCTGGGGAGTAACAAGCAGGGGAAGACCTACTTTCCACTTAAGAATGCTGTGACCTGAATAGATTATGATAACTAGATCACCAACATACGGGTCATAGTACGGTTAGGGAATTCAGTTTAAAATACACTGAGTGGGGAAGGGAAAAATCTGGAGGAAAACACAGCTTTGGAGTCAATGACACAAGAGGTATTCAAAGCCAAGAAAGAAGTATGAGAATGAGATAAGAGAACTTTAAGCTGGGTGCCAGTGGCTCACGCCTGTAATCCTAGCTACTCAAGAGCTGAGATCTGAGGATCACGGTTCAAAGCCAGCCCGGGCAGAAAAGTCAGTGAGACTCTTATTAACCACCAGAAAACTGGAAGTGATGCTGTGGCTCAAGTGGCACAGCATTAGGCTAGAGCTGAAGAGCTGAGGGACAGCTCAAACCCCACGACCAACAAACAAAGAGAAGTTAAGGCAGACCTCTGGAAACTAATATTAAAAGTTAAGACAGATAAAGACATGAAAAAAATAGACAGAAGTGCCATCATGGAAACCAAGGGAAATACTTTCAATGTATGAGCCAGCAGTGAATACCACTAAGAGTCCAACAAGGTGAGATGTAGATGCAAGCATTTCACAGGAATGTAGGATGAAAATTATACTGCATAAGAAGTGACTACAGATAAAGTATAGGCATAAAACACAAACTATTCAAGAAGACTAGTTGTAACATGAGAAAAGAAGGTGTTGCCTAGTGTGAAGCCAACATTTGTTTTTACATTAAGAGTTGAGGTACTAGATGGGCATCGGTGCCTCACACCTGTAATCTTAACTACTCAGGAGGCTGAGACGTGAAGACTGAGTTTCAAAGCCAGCCTACTCAAGAAAGTCTATGAGACTTATTTCCAATTAACCATCGAAAATCCAGACATGGCTGTGTAGTTCAAGTGGTAGAGCTACAGCCTTGAATGAAAAAAAATTCAGGGATAATGCCCATGCCCTGAATTCAAACCCCAGTGGCCTCAGTACCAGGACAAAACAAACAAAAACCAACAAAAGAAGCTGCTGAAGTACTTGGACATGTTTATAAGCTAAAGAGCAGCAGCACAGCAATGGGTGTGGTAATAATAGCTAGGGGACAGCCGCTGGTGAGGTTCCCAGTAAAGGTGACATCAGTCACCGACCAACCAGACTGTCAGAAGTGATTCCTCCAACCATACCTGTTTTACAGTTCAGACCTCTTCCACTGGTTTAAAATCACATTGCATCTCCAGATATTCACATATGGTGGCGGAAAAACATGTATTATGCTGTATCTATTTTCAATAAGAATTGAGACTTTATCTGAATCGATCCTATGGGGAGCACTGCCAAAATTCTAACAAATATTAAGGTAAGGTACAACCTGTCTTTTGTTGTTCTCACCCCTCCCCTTACTTCAGATGGTCCAAATACCCACTGTTCTCCCAGCCCTGTTAAATGCCACACGAAACGAGGGCACCTCTGAGCCATGCTACCAGTACGCCGCTGTCTCACCTGTACGCATTGTATTTGTGGATGGCCTGGCTCACGTTCTTCTCAAAGTTTGCAAGTTCTGAAAAGGCAGAGAGATTCCAGTGAAGAGGAGTGGCGAGTAAACACAGGAAAGCTGGGTTCCCTCGACGAAGACTGGCAACTTCTCAGGTCGAAGATCACCCGTTTCTCCACTGGCCAGATTTCAAGGCTGCACACGCAGCACGGGCGCTGACAGGCGACCCCGGGGAGGAATACCTGCTGCCTATAGCGGGCCCCACCCACAGGGCAGCGCGGCAGGGGAAGCGCAAGGGTACGGGCAGGGGACAGGAGGAAAGGAAGGGAGGAAGGTAAGAGGAAAGGAAGGATAGGGATAGGCTAAAGGGCTGGGACCGGCACTAACCCATGAGCATGTCGGTGATGCCCCCGTTAAGCGTCTCCTGAGGCGCCTTCCGCTTACTCATGGCGGCCCGTACCCAAGGCCTCAGGGGCCCAGAACCTGTGACCGGTCCCCTCTCCCGCCCGTAAGAAGGTACCAGGATTTAGAGAGGGGCAAAGTTGCACCAAGACTCCAGAGCCGCACGCAGGTGCGACTGGCAGAACAATGGTCGCTGCCTCTGACATAGGGCGCGGCGTGGCGTGGCGCGGCGCACGCAGTGACGTCAGGAAACAGCGACAGGGGCGGGGCTAGAGGGGCTTACGGTCGAGCTGCAGGAAGAGGGGTCGGTGGGACTGAGTGAGCTCAAGGAGGCGCTCCCAAGCTTGTACTTACCAAGAGAAAATGAGTACCTCCGAATTACAGCCCATCAGAACTTTTTATGGGAAGACATGGATTCTTAACCCAAGAGTATACCTGTTTTCCTTATGCTTCTTTGGAATTCTGTCCCTAGAGGAGGAAAAAGAGATTTTGTTTCTGAAGTGTACAGAATGGTGGGGGTCCCAGGGCAGAAGATTAAAGATTGCTCTTAGGTATATATGTGGGCAATAGCAGTAATTGAATGCGTGGCATATTTTATGTGATAAGTAACACTAGTGTCATAATGTCGAAACTCTTAAGAATGCATTATAGTAGACAAGCACCGTGGGAACATGAAAGAAAATATACCAATCTGAACTTTCTAGCATATCTGCCATCTAACAGCTAAAGATGTCGTTTTTAATTCCCCTGCCTTTTTTTGGTAGGAACTAATGTGATGAAAAGCCCCAAGAAAGAGAGAAGTGCAGGGGCTGGGAAGGTGGCTCAGTGGTAGAGCGCTTGCCTTGCATGCATGAGGCCCTGGGTTTGATTTCTCAGCACCACATAAGCAAACAAAAAAAAAGCCCGAAGTGGCGCTGTGGCTCAAGTGGTAGAGCGCCCAGGCCCAGAGTTCAGGCCCCATGACCGGAGGATAAAAGAACTGAGCAACGGTGGCTCACTTCTTTAATCCTTGCAACTTATGAGTCTGAGATTGTTGGGATCACTGTTCCAAAACCAGCCTGGGCAGAGAAAAGTATGTGATCCTTCTCAACTAAGAGCTGGATGGAGTGGCAAACCTGTTACCATAACTACCCAGGAAGTCTAAGCAGGAATGGAGACCCTATCTCAAAAATAATGAGCAGGGGCTAGGGATGTGGCATAGCGCTAGAGTGCTTAACTAAGGATCATGAAACCCTGGGTTCTATTCCTTAGTACCCCATAAACAACAACAAAAAAAAGCTGGAAGTGGCGCAGTGGCCAAAGTGGTAGAGTGCTAGTCTTGGGCAAAAGAACCTTAGTGATGATGCCCAGGCGCTTCAGGACTGGACACACACACACACACACACACACACACACACTGACCAAACACCAGGGCTGGAGATGGCTCAGCAGTGCCTACTGAATAAGGTCAAGGCTATGAATTCAAATCTTGAGAGACAGAGAGAGTGAGAGTTTAAATTGGTGATCATCTATCTCACTACTCATATCCCTGATAAACTACTATTTATATTTTCGGACATTTCTAGTTCTCTAATCCAGCCCTTTTTAAATCGCCATTTTTTTTTTTTTTTTTTTGCCAGTCATGGTGCCTGAACTCTGGGCCTGGGCACTGTCCCTCAGCTCTTCAGCCCAAGGCTAGTGCTCTACCACTTGAGCCACAGCACCACTTCCAGCTTTTTCTGCTTATGTGGTGCTGAGGAATCGAACTCAGGGCCTCATGCATGCAAGGCAAGCACTCTACCACTGAGCCACCTTCCCAGCCCTAAATTGCCATTTTTTAATTTTTATTGTTATTTTTAAGGAATTGTACAAAGGGCTATAATTGCATAAGTTAGGTTATGAGTTCTTTCCTATTTGCTGTGTTCCTGGGACTTTTCAAAAAGTTCCTGCCTGTGACAGTAAATTCTAATGTTTCTCTCTTCTATTTTGCAGTAGTTTCAAAGCTTCTAGTATTTGTGCAATCATTTTTATAAGTATTATGACTATCTTTTAAAAATGAGTAGCAATTTAAGGAAAAATGATCAGTTAGTTCTCTGTCCTTATCGGTCTTATTGATCTACTAACCACTCCCTTATTGAAATTTAGTTAACTTCTATGAATATTCATAGATTTCTTAGTAAATTTCTTTACATGTATATTCTTTTATATGAGTTAACTTTTCAGTAAAACAATACTATCTGCATATAGCAAAGGGATTTTTTTTTTTTGTCAGTTGGCCTGGGCACTGTCCCTCAGCTCAAGGTTCAAGGCTAGTGCTCTAGCACTTGAGCCACAGTGCCACTTCTGGATTTTTCTGCTTACGTGGTGCTGAGGAATTGAAACCAGGGACTCATGCATGCAAGGCAAGCACTCTACCACTAAGCCACCTTCCCAGCCCAAGGGATATGTTTTTCTTTTTTCAGATTTGGGAATGGTGAACTCAGGCCTTTTGCATTTGCTCAGCTGCTGACCTACCACTTGAACCACACCCTTGTCTTGTTTTTGGAGGTGGACTCAAGGAAACTTTCAGGCCTGGGCTGGCCTCAAACTGCCAACCTCTAGATCTCTACCTCCTGAGTGGCTAGAACTACAGACATGCATCACTGATTTTTGGCTAAGGAAGATAGTTTTCAATTGCAGTCACTTCAGATATTGATATTATGAATTTAAACAGCAAGAATGAATATTCATGACAATAAATAAGAGCATCTTTTCACATAAAATATATATGTTTCAACAAATGTATACAACAGCTTTTTTTCTAATAGGCTCTCACTTGAAATAATCCAAATATCCCAAACTCTAACAGAAATAAAGTAAAGCACTTCTTTGAAGTAGGTTGTTACTATGCAATCATAGAACAAACTATGACTATTTGAAGCATTATTATTGCCTTTCAAAATCATTGTTCTGAAGAAAAGAGCCAAGAGAAAGGAAAATAAAAGTAGAATATATAAATACTTTTACAATTTATAAACAAATCTACAATGAAAAGTAGAAGTTCAATAGTACCCTAGGATTGGAGATAGGACCACAGTGGCTCATACCTGTGACCCTACTTGTTTGAGAGGTAAATATCAGAGGAATGTGGTTCAAGGCAAATCTAGTCAAGAAGTTATTGGAAAAACAGCTAAAACTCAGTGTGTGTAGTGGTATGTATCACCTCAACTATGTGGGAAGATGTAAGCAGGAGGACTATAGTCCAGGCCAGCCCTGGGGAAATGCAAGATTCTACCTGAAAAGCAAAAATAAACAAACTTTTGGAGGTGATGGAAATATAATTTTCATGATCACAGTAGCACTTTTATAAATGGACATTCAAAGCTTACCAAATGATACACATTAATGTCTAAAGCTTATATATTTCAAGTAGAGCTCCATAAAGAGGTTGTAAGAAAACAAAACTAAATCAGAGGTGCACTATTATTCATAAATAGTTGTCTCTGGACTTTCAATTTAACATGTCTTTTGAAATACACAATGTGTCTTTATGAGTGTCATTCTTCTGTATTGAGGGTGTAGTAGACAGCCTTAATCGACCCAGGCTAGGACAGGAAGCATTTCAAGGGATAGGAGTTCATGACAAGACCCTCAGAGGCCAAGAGCATGTAACCTACAACTCCCTCCAGTTTCTTTCTGGTTTGTTTGTTTTTGAAGGGGCAGTGTTATTGTTCTGGCATCCTACCAACAGACAACCTTTTTTGTGCAAGCTATTACGACTATGCCTGGTAAGGTACCTGTGGACAGGTGATTTCCGCAGATGAAGCCATTTCTGAGAGCAACAGAGAAGTACAGGAAAAAGAAGGAAGACAGGCAAGGGGCATGTGGCTCAGCCCCAGTCAGGGCCACCAACCATTTCCTGCAGCCACGCCCACAGCACGTTAGAGACTACTGGGGAATAGAGAGACTTCCCTGGACCCACTTCCCATTGTTCACAGAATTCTCCTAGCAAGAGAGTGAAGGCACGTGCCAGCGCTCGTATACCTAGGATCTTACAGCTGCGGATTGTGAGTATTGTACAGAGTTAGAAGGCACTTTTCCATCCAGAAAGCCAACGCCTACCACCGCGGACACCACACCGAGGCTCAGGAAGAGCAAGTCCCGGGTCCCCGCGGGGGCCAGGGCGATGGGGCCCAAAGGGCAAGGCAAGCGCCACTCCAGTGCCACCAGGAGCATGCGTGAGCCCAGTGCCCGCAGAGCCGAAGGCCAGGCCACCAGGCCACCCCCCGCTGGGCCCGCCTCCACGGCGGAGGAGGGGACCCTGCGCGCGGCCTCCTCCAAGGGTTCTACCCACAGGGAGCATTTTTCCATCGGCTCCCTAGTGGAGGGCAGGGCCACCAGACCACCATCTTCTGGTAGGCCCCCCACGACTCAGGAGGAGGCCCGACTGCGCAGGCCCTCCTCAGTGACCAGCAAGGGCCCCGGGATCATGGAGGGCGGGGACCCCCGACCTCCATCTCGTGGGGTCCCTGGCACTGCCATGGAGGTGCAACTGCCCAGGGCCTCCAGTTCCACCAGCAGTGCAAATCAGTCCTCTTCCGAGATAGTGGAGTGGGGAGGCCTCCGAAGATCACCGCCCGGAGCTGCGTCCACTACCGAGGTCGAGGAGTTAAGCCTGGGCTGGGTCCCCTACAACACCATCAAGAAAGGCCCTTCCCGCGCCATCCACCCGCGGAGGGCCCAGGGCTGGGTGACCAGGCCATGCTTCGTCGGGCCTTGGCCCATCATTGAGGAGAGGTCAGATCAGAACACAATCTTCCCAGTTATCACCCAATCTGTGCAAGCCCCTGAGAGGCCCCACAAAGGGAGAGCCCTCAGCCGATGACCTGCTGGGGGTATTCCCAAAGAGGAAGTCAACTGGGGCCAGGACCGCACCATCTCCATGACCCCCGCAATTCAACGTCTCCTCAAGGAGCGTCAGGGAGGAGATCGTCCCACCCCTAAACTCCTGCCTGCCAGGGCCAATCTGCCAGCCCAGGACAGGACAGAACGCACGGTCACCAACAGTGCGGTCACCACACTCAGCCCCCTAAAGCTGGGGGGCCAGGGAGGAGGTCATGCTCCCCTGGCCAAGCACAAAGCCCGGGAAGTTCAACTCCCCAGCCCTACATCTACCCCAGTGCCTTCCTACACCGTCCATCTAGTGGGAAGCCCCCTGGCGGCAGTCCACACTGCCGGGGCCAATTTCAAATGGGCAGATACAAAACTGCACCAGCCCACCATGAAGAACTCCGACACCCCACAACCCGCCGTGAGCACCCAAACCATCCATGGCCGGCGCATTAAACAAAACGCTGCCTTGGCCAAACTGGCAGCTGAGAAGGCAAAATTACACAGGAAGGACTTGGCCAAGGCAAACACCTGCTCTCTTGCAGTTACTGGGGTCAATTCCTCTGATAGCAGGCAAGAAGCAGGGGCACTGCAAGATCTTCCGCAGCCTGCTTTCCCTCACCATCACACCCCTGAACCCTGCCCCAGCTCTGCCGAGTTCACGTTGAGTAAACTGTTTCCATCTCCAGATGGACACTTGCACGCCAGGGGCCACCTCAGCAGCTGTGTAGGACAATCGCATGCACGCCCACAGCCAGAAACACCCCAAAACCTGAACCCAGTTTCAGGGCAAAGACTTGTCCTGGCATTAAGGAAGTCGGGCCAGCAGGAGAGAAAAATCCAAGTGCACCAGGTTAACAAAGAAATACTTGTAAAAGGTGTAAACAAACCCACTGTGGGACACATCCACAGTACAATTCAGGAGAATCAGGAGAATCGTGAAGAGGAAAAGGGGAGACAGTCAAAGGTGCAATACCCAGCTGCCACCAACAGAAAAGAAAGGGAGGCCCATAAACCCCAGTTACCAATTCCCAGAAAGATCCAGGGCAAGTGCAGCCAGAGGAAACACTGAGGCAGCCAGTGGAAGACAGACACTACCTGAGAGTACAGGCCACACAAGCATGCCTGAAAGCTGAAATGGAAAACATCATTCAGATGGAGCACAGGGCACACAGCCAAATGATTCGACAAAGGTGTTGCTGGGAAAGCAAAGATACTAAACTGCACCCAGTCAAAGCAGTCAAAAGAACAAAGGAATAGCCTCAAGCATGGAAGAATCCAATTAGAGTGAACATGAGGGCTAAACTGGAAGGTGAATTACAGAATGAACTTGAGAAACTGATAGAACAGTATCAAAACTCAGAGATAACACAAAGACAATTTCTCAAAGGGAAAGAATGTTTAGAAGACAGATGGGACCAAATGAGTTTATCCACAAGGAGGTGCCCAAGGCAAAGGGTACAGACAGCAAAATGAACCACCTAGGAACCAGAGACCAAAGTGAGAAGTCATTCCTGAAAAGCCTGGAGGAGACACAAGAACTTTGAA